TCCTTTTATTTTCTTGCTCCTTCTGAAGCCGATGGCTTCAATTTTGAGCTCAAAGTCAAAAAGAGATAGCAGAGAGATTCATCAAAATTACTCGCCTTTGTTTGGACCTTCTCTGAAGTCTCCTATCTCATTTTTGTGCCAAGTATTACTTATGCAGTGTAATACTTCTTTTTGGAGCCCGTCCCGTCCTCTCTGACGTCATAATTGAAATCTGATTTTTTGGAAATCTAGCTTTTTGGAATTCCAGGAAATTCGAAAATCTAAAAAACCGAAAATTTTCTGGAAATCTGAAAATCTATAATTCTGAAAATCTGGAAATATGAAATACTAACTTTTTGGAAACTTATAAAATCTGGACATACGAAAGTCCTAAATTCTAGAACTCTAGAATTCTAGAAATCTAGATATACGAAGTTCCCGGAATTTAGGATATCTGGAAATTCAAAAATCTGGAAATTCTGAAATCCTAGAAATCTAGATATGAAATTCCAGGAATTTATCTGGAAAGCCAAACATCGAATTGTTTGGAGATTTATGATTCTGAAAATCTGGAAATCGAAATTTCTCGTAATCTGAAAGAAGAAGAGACGCCTTCTGATTATAATTGTGCTCCACATTTTCCTTTTATTTTCTTGCTCCTTCTGAAGCCGATGGCTTCAATTTTGAGCTCAAAGTCAAAAAGAGATAACAGAGGAATTCATCGAAATTACTCGCCTTTGTTTGGACCTTCTTTGAAGTCTCCTATCTCATTTTTGTGCCAAGTATTACTTATGCAGTGTAATACTTCTTTTTGGAGCCCGTCCCGTCCTCTCTGACGTCATAATTGAATGAAGAAGGAGCCGGAGCCAGGTGATGAAGAAGAAGAGGAAGAAGATTGGATTATAGAGAATATGTGGAAAACGGAGAATGCATTTCTAGCTCATTTTATCGCCCCCTTTCTAGGAGCTAGATTCTGAAAAAGAAGAAACGTTTTGGATTTAGAATCCAGATCCAAGAATTCAGATTCTGAATTTTTGATCAGAATCTTGAGGTTTTTGAATTGAATTCCAGAATCCAGACCTTTGATAAATCCAATTTGGATTATCCGGATGTGTTGGCTGAATATGTTATTGACTGGTACTGTAGAAGCTTCCTACCTATCCCTAGACACCTCATTCTTCAAACGGAGCACTCAAGAATGACCATATAGGGATAGTCTGAGCACATTTGGCCGACTAACTCGCTTGGATGGCGCTGTGAAGAAGTGTCAATCTGAGGTGTCAATCTGATTGCACCTTTCTGATCTGCTCCTCGAAAAATTTGTCATTTTGGTCTTTTTGGAAGCTCTCTGCTCTTCCTGAGACATTCCAGACTACAAACTACAAAGTCTTCTACCCTCTCAGCAGCTTCCTGAGGTTTATACTGTCTGGAAGCTCTCTCTCTCTCTCTGCTCTTCTAGAGACGGTATCTGAAATCAAGGCATTCCTATCAGAAGACTACAAACTACAAAGTCTAGGGATCTTGTATGTTCTTCCTGTACGACAATAATAGTATGAAAAGCCAATTTCCGGAATGTCATATTGTTATGAACACCTATAGCTGCTTCTCTGCGTCTCTCGATTTCCCACACTCTCTCGCCTGCTTCTCCCCCCGGAAGCTAATCCGATGGCTATCAATGTAACAACATGTAGCTTGTGTTATTTTTAATGCCTATATATTTTTTCGAAACGAAAAAAATAGCATAATTTTGTCAACGTCGCCCTCTTCCGCCCCGGCTATTCGGAGGCTATTCTGAAGACGTGCTCTTTAGCAGAAGAGCCAGAAGAGCCATCCAACGACATCCGAATGTAATTTGAATAGATTAGCACCTCCTCCTACTCCTATGAGCAATGAGAGAGAGAGAGGAAACAGCAGCAAGTGCTCTCTTTTTTTTTCTGAATTTTCCTTTTTTTGGCTAGAAAAGGAGAGACAAGGTGACGTGGTGCTTCTGAACAAATCTAGATGAATTTGAATATCGGATTCTAGACATCCGATTCTAGATATCTGGATTTTTTGGATTCCAAACAGACGGACCATCTAGAATCTAGAATAGATTTTGAGATTTTGAGATTCTGCGTTTGGAGGATTCAGAAGCCCTCACGGCGTCTAGAACCGTGTACAGTGGGACTCTTGAGGTCCTTGAGATTGTTAGAATTCCAAGTTTCTTTTAAAATGCTGAAATAGAAGATTCAGATGACGTCAAGTCCATCTGGAGTTTTTGATTTTAGATCAGAAATTTAGATTTCGAAAGGTTTTCCTCTTCTCGTTCTCAAAGTTTGTGTGTAAATTTATCTAAAATCAAGATCTACATTATTTGGCTGTTTGAATTCGCAATCCTCGGCATTCTCGTGATTCGTCTTCTCCTTTGAATTCAATACGTTTTTCATCGTGTTCCCCGTTCATTTATGTAATTTTTCAATTTGCTGAAAATCTTCTTTATTGATTTTTGGACCCTTTTAAAGGTGGTGTGCGGTGAGAAATTTTATTGCTTTATTTTGTGTAGAATTCAATGTAGATTCACATAAAAATAAAGAAAAAATTCGAAAAAAAAAATCCTTCATTGAGAAAAACGGCATCGAAAAGTCAAAGTGGGAACCGGTGGCCTAGCGGCCAGGTGTGAGTTTTCTAGGCCAACTGCCGGTAAAAGTGCGCGAAAGACTTCTCTGACTTTTGTCAAGTTTTTT